CCCGGCATGGCTGTACTGCACCAACCTTTCATCCTGGCATAGCTGTAGCACTGGGGGTCCCTGTCCTTAATTCCCTGTACTGCACCAGTCTTTCATCCCGGCATGGCTGTACTGCACCAGTCTTTTATCCTGGCATAGCTGTACTGCACCTGTCTTCCATCCTGGTATAGTGATACGGCACCAGTCTTTTATCCTGGCATAGCTGTACTGCATCAGTCTTTTATCCTGGCATAGTTGTACTGCACCAGTCTTTTATCCTGGCATAGTTGTACTGCACCAGTCTTTTATCCTGGCATAGTTGTACTGCACCGGTCTTTTATCCTGGCATAGTTGTACTGTACCGGTCTTTTATCCTGGTATAGTTGTACTGCACCAGTCTTTTATCCTGGCATAGTTGTACTGCATCAGTCTTTTATCCTGGCATAGTTGTACTGCACCAGTCTTTTATCCTGGCATAGTTGTACTGCATCAGTCTTTTATCCTGGCATAGATGTACTGCACCAGTCTTTTATCCTGGCATAGTTGTACTGCACCAGTCTTTTATCCTGGCATAGATGTACTGCATCAGTCTTTTATCCTGGCATAGATGTACTGCACCAGTCTTTTATCCTGGCATAGTTGTACTGCACCAGTCTTTTATCCTGGCATAGTTGTACTGCATCAGTCTTTTATCCTGGCATAGATGTACTGCATCAGTCTTTTATCCTGGCATAGATGTACTGCACCAGTCTTTTATCCTGGCATAGTTGTACTGCACCAGTCTTTTATCCTGGCATAGTTGTACTGCATCAGTCTTTTATCCTGGCATAGATGTACTGCACCAGTCTTTTATCCTGGCATAGATGTACTGCACCAGTCTTTTATCCTGGCATAGATGTACTGCACCAGTCTTTTATCCTGGCATAGATGTACTGCACCAGTCTTTTATCCTGGCATAGATGTACTGCACCAGTCTTTTATCCTGGCATAGATGTACTGCACCAGTCTTTTATCCTGGCATAGATGTACTGCACCAGTCTTTTATCCTGGCATAGTGATACGGCACCAGTCTTCCATCCTGGCATAGTGATACGGCACCAGTCGTCCATCCTGGCATAGTGATACGGCACCAGTCTTTTATCCTGGCATAGCTGTACTGCACCAGCCCAGTTTATTTTCTCAATAATCTGCTGGTCCTGGAACCCATCTGCTTGTGATGCTCAAACACACTGCACAGAGGCTCCTTGCTCTCTCCAACATACTGCGAACCAAAATACCAATACTAAGAAGGTTTTTAGAGCCTCCAATAAAACTCATCGAAGGAAACTTTACATCAGAAGGGGCAATCTGCACGGGGCAGCACAGTGGCGCAGTGGTTAGCGCTTCTGCCTTGCAGCACTGGGGGTCCCTGGTTTGAATTTCAACCAGGTCACTATCTGCATGGAGTTTGCATGTTCTTCCTGTGCTTGTGTGGGTTTTCTCACACACTCCAATGACATGCTGGAAGGTTAATTGGCCCATGTATGCATGCTTATGAGATAGGGTGTTTAGATTGTAAGCTCCTTGAGGGCAGGGGCTGATGTGAATGTAAAAAACACTGCGTACTATTGACGGCGCTATATAAATACCTGTAACAATACTGCCCTCCTATTCACCGTTTTCATGCTTGTGGATGCAGAAGGTTACACAGGCCTTAGATTTATGTCATGGGAAATTTCTATGTTTAGTCTTAGTTCAGAAATATGGTGGAAAAATCTTCATTGCTCCAACCGAACCCCTAAAACTAACCTAGAACCTGAGCCCAACCATGGATGTCATCCTAAACCCTACACCAAACCTAACCCCTATAGACCCCTATAGACCCCTATAGACCGCTTCACATTCACATGACACAACATATATAGTCTTTATATGAGCTTTTGATGTGTTTTCAGCTGTTGTATGTGTTTTGTAAGTGTATTTTATAGGGAGCGGGTACTTCCTGATTTAAAATGCACGTGAAAGCATGAACTGTGCGTTATTTGTATGAGCATTACATGTGGTTGTAGGCACTTTCCGGTTATTATCCATTTTAGACCAAGTACCAAAAAATACTGCTTGCAGGACACTTTAAAAGCGCTCTGAAAGAAAATAACAACAGCTCCATAGGATGTGTATAGTTTCCGATGCATTTATCTGCATCAAGAATGCAAATGGGACCAGCAAGGGATGGGAACTAAATATAAACCTGAACCGTAACCCTCATTAACCCTAAAATCTCCAGCTCAGCTATAATCCTAGTGGTGAGAATGATAATTACACATGCAATCACACGTCTATGCCATAACATATCAGCAAAGAGCACCAACATGGCACAACAAAACTTCCATCAAAATGTCTGTGCCACAGCAAATGATCCAACATTGGTAAGAATGTGCTCAAGAATTAACATGCCGATTAAAATCTGCAAACCCGAACAATGAATTTCTCTAAATTGCATTGATGTGACTGGCGGAGGGCTACAGTAGTTCCAATATTCAAAAAGGGGGCTAGATGCCAACCAGGGAACTATAGGCCGTTCAGTCTAACATCGGTAGTTTGTAAAAAAGTTCAATGGTGACAGCAACATTGGCAACAAAGTGTTTGAGATTAATTCCATTACAAAGACTAGAGGCCACCACCTAAAGTTGGTGGAGAAACAATTCCAGCAACAAGGGGCAAAGAGGGTTCTTTACAGTAAGAGCGGTTAAGGTCTGGAACTCACTGCCATCGGCAGTGATTTCAGCCAAGAGTGTAGTTTGTTTGTTCAAGAAACGTTTGGACAATTTCTTGAGGGACCGTAATATCCAGGGGTACCAGTATCCCTAAGAATGAGATGATGCGTGGACCGATATGGGTTGGACTTGATGGACATTTGTCTTTATTCAACCCCAAATACTATGTAACTATGCATCCTTTTTGGTCTGTAAATTAACATTTAAAGCGTTTTGGTATATCTGTTCAGTAAGTGAAAGAAATACCTGTTGATCCTGCCAGGAATCCAGAGCACTCCTAACTTCCTGTGCATTCTGCTGTATTACAGCCACAGGGTAGCTCAGTGGCGTAGTAGTTAGCACGTCTGCCTTGCATCACTGGGGTCCCTGGTTTGAATCCTGGTCAGGACGCTATCTGTAAGGAGTTTGCATGTTCTCATGCACTTGCCGGAAGGTTGATTGGCCGGAAGGTTGATTGCCTCTTGTCTAAGTTGGCCCCGTGTGCGTGTACAATATGGACCTTCTTGGGGCAGGGACTCATGTGAAATGTATGGAAAGTGCTGTGTAGATGTCAGCTCTATACAGATACCTGACATGAATGATCTCAAACAGTGTTATTAGCTCTGCCCAGTTCAGATCTGTGAACTACAGAACATCACCTCTGTGTGTTGTGGAGAGCGGGTGGCTGTTCTAGGCTGACAATGCTCACTTACTGCACTGTATCTATGGAGGAGCAGCGTTGTCACTTAATGATCTTGCCAGTAACGCACTTCCTGACCTAGGGTGACAATGCTCACTTAATGCATTGTATCTATGGAGGAGCAGCGTTGTCACCCTAGGTCAGGAAGTGTGTTACTGGCAGGATCATCAAGTTAAAATGAAGGGAAATAGACTGATGTAAGAAAACGAATGCATCCACCACATCTCCCCGCCCAGCTCCTAACAACCTGGAATGCTTTCTCTGGCGTCCTGCCCAGCTGGGTGGGAAGATGCAGAGGGCATCTTCATTCTTGTGTTTGGTGGTGTTCTATCACAGATTGTGACTGCGTTAGAATGTGTGACCGGTCACTGGTCACACATTCTAACGTAGTCACGCCCCTTTTTTCCTGGGGTAAAAATGTGTGACCGGCAAAAGGTGTAGAATTCAAAGCTTTTTCCGCTGTTCCCAGGCAGATCGGCATAGCAGATGGTATGTGCAGGAGAACCGATCTGCCCTGGAACAGCTGATCAGTCCTGAAATCTCACTTCTATCCGACTTTGTGAGTGCACCACCACCGAAAAAATGGGCGTGATTACATTAGAATGTGTGATCACGTCACTGGTCACACATTCTAACGTAGTCACAATCTGTGATAGAACAGTGGGACTGTCTCCTCTACCCACCTCCCGCTGCTCTGATTGGATTGCGTGCAACGCCACCACCGTTCCGTCCCCCCCACCACCTCCAGCTCAGGCGGCAAAAATGCTAGGGACACCACTGGGTATATTGAGCTTTTTGCCTGGAGTTCAAGACAAAAGCTGTAAAGGCGTGCAAAGAAGTCCAAAAATAGGCTGAACATTTTTGGCACCCCCCAAAGCTCCAGCAACCCAAATGATCCCGATGAAGACTATCAAGCTGCAGTAACAAATTTGCACGTGGCGTGTGCGTCTAAGGGTTATGTCATTTTTAAACTTTCTAGACGAAAGTACTCAACTTTCTCAGTTGTGTTTCAGTACTAATTTGGTCTGCCTCGCCGTGCCAGACAACAGTAAAATTGCGAGCATTGTTTCACATAATTGCCAGTTCATGTCAAAAGTATTAGGTGATACAGCGCGAAATCAGCTAATGCAAACAGCGTCAGGGAGAGCTGCGAGGAGAGGAGACGGGAGCTGGGGAGTCATAGCTTTGCATATCTGTGACAGCAACAAAGGCAGTGTGCACAGGAGGGAGGGGTAACATGGGCTCTCCCTTCGCAGGCTCACTTGCAACCTACATACACTCCACCAGCTTCCCCTTCTCCTTTAAGTCTTTTACATCTTCTGGCATGGGAGAAAAGATGGATTGTCTCTGTGTTGGAGAAGAACTGCAAGATTAGCAGAAATTTGGGGGGTAGAACTTCAGGCAAGCCGAAATTCCAGGCTTGGCAGAGTTAAAAACCTGAGAACAAACGTGGCGTGGAAACTTGGATATCATTTGCCAAGAAAGAGTCAACTTCAAGTGGTCACCAGAAGGAGAAGATCTTTTGTAGACCTAAGTACCCATCCTTGGTGCTACTGCAAGCATCAAAGGTCCGCTTGTCTGGCTTGGCCAATCTCTTGGTACCCAAAAAAGATTCCTTCAGATCTGAGAAATGTAAAACCAAATCCTGGACTTATGGAGGAAGGGATCGCAAGTAAAGTTACTGACTGCAGGGATGGAGCCAGCTAGTTTTGCTTCTCCAGATGGTAGATGGTGAAAGAGAGAGCAGCAGGGTCCTACCTCCGTCCTCTGGGCTATGGTGCTGCCCAGTATGTCCTTGGAGGAGGAGTGGCACTCGGAAGGATTCCAGACTTTGGGCATTGTTCTTCTCATCTTTAGCTCTCTTAAACTTCTGCACTTTTTGGGAATCATCGACTTTTCAGAGGAAGGTAAGACCACCACCGAGAGTTGGTTACGTAGGCAATTGAATGATGAGTGAATGAAGCTTTTCATAGCACATTCAGCTACTTTAATGCACATTGGGAATGGAATTCACTTTCAGTATCCCCAAGACCCCATTTTTATAATTTAAGAAACCATGGTTGAAATATGGTTGGAAAATTCCAAAAACAGGTCGGCAATAGCAAATCCTGTATTATTTCTCATGACAGGTTTTGTTCATAGGTTATGGCGGGATGTGATGTCATTGTGACGTCATGGGGGGTGGTACTTGATGTTTGATTGTGCGCTGCCATTATAAATGCGTTTGAACCGCAAAAGCGCTGCGCAAACTGTTGGCGCTATATAAATCCTGTATAATAATAATACTGATTGTCACTATGTTGCCCTGAGGAAGGGACCCTGCGTGGCCACCGAAACGCTGGCTTTATGACAAGAAAATAAAGAGCGTTCATACTACACGCATTTGTCTAAGCGCTGGTGATTCCTGCTTACTGATTGTTTTAAAGGTCAGACCGAAAAACTGGAAATAGGCTGTTGAGTGTATTGAGGTGTTTACATGGGCAGCAACTTGAGTTTTGTGCTCATTTTCTTTTTTTGGAGTTTTATTGATTCAGCCCACTTAGCTTCTTACTCCCCGTGTTGTAGCATTAAAGATCGGTGAGCTGAAGTTCTCTGCGACGTGCTAAGCCTTTAAAATCCTGCTCAGCTTCAAGCAGTTGCAGTCCGGAACGTCTGATAAATTCCCCTTTAAATTCCTGCGGTGTTTTCATTGGCAGGGCTACACCATAGCTATCTTTGACAGATGTGATTTAACCTTCTGCCTAACATGAAATGAAACCACTAAAGCTGTATACATGTCTCCCTGGTGCTGAAACCTAAAAGCCACATTGAGGTCTAATTATGGCGTCAGTGATTTATTTTCCAGGATTGAAATGGTGGGGGGGTCTATTTATTTTTGTACTGAGCTACCCATAAGTGTGGTCTGTAGCAAAGTACAGTTAAAGGCTCCATACACCTCTCATTGCATTGACTCAAATATTAGCATTGGTTTTCCTCTTTCCCCTCAATTCCTGCCCTAGAATAGCTCTTGGAAGCCATGGTGAACACACCCAGTATGCACATAATATGGCTGTATGGGGCCAGTCCAACCAAAAGTGATATTTCGGTGTTGGTTGGACTGGCCCCATTCAGCCATATTGTGTGGAGCTAGGTTAAGTAGATCACCCTTGGACTATTCATTTTCTAAAGTCTTCCTTACGTAGTCTGTGGCTCTGTCCCTGCCTCCTTGACGTGCTAGGTGTTCACACTCTGTATTTTACATCCCTCATAATTTAAAGAAACCTGAGAGGATATGGAGGCTCACGTTGTTGACCTCTCCTCCTGAAAATAATTGTCTGGCTGTCATGTGTAACTTCTTGACTCAATGAAGGGGTGGGGGGGCTGTTCTCTGACTCTCCTGATTGCCATACCTGTTCCAGAAGTCTGGCTCTGAAGGTATGGAAGCAAGCTGGTCAACATAACAGTTAAGAACCTAGCACCCACTGGGGAGATTTGACTTTACTTCCTGTTCTGGAGACACAACAGAGGGGATCTCTGTAAAATGAATGAAATTCCCAGCTTGGGAGGTAGTCCCTGGACCAGGGTTCTGGTGTAACAGTAAATGTTATCTATCACCTCCTTTTTCAGGCAACACCTCTAACATTTTGCATTTGCTTTCACTATCTGTCAGGACAAAAATGAAGAGGGGGGAGGAATCTCCCCAGTGAGGACATATATGCTCTAGAAAGGGTCTAATCCTTCCCTACTCTTTTCAGAATGTAAAAACATACCCCGATATGAAAAAGCCCAGAGGGGGATTGTATATGGGTACAGCGGGTATGGAGAGATGTTTTCAACCTCAAGAGATGCAGAAGACACCTTCCAAAAGTCACCAAAAGCTAAATTATAAGATTTGGGTGGACTGACCCCTAATTATTGGGTGAGACTGCTGTCTGCTTACTTGGGTAAAGCCAACTGTTTATACTCAAAGTGTTTCAGTGCGAGCAAACCCCCCACCATGTATCCTGGGCTCTACTGCCCCCTTTGGACCTGGGAACACCATGGTGGGTGTGGGCTGTTAGAAGGGAGAGAGTATAGTGAAGTTACTTCCACTGATCTCCCCTCCATTGAATGAACCTGGATGCGTCAAGGATTTACTCATTCCGGGTTCAGAGCACACTTTGGGTATGTCAACACACCCCAGAGTGAGATCAATAATTCTAGGGCCATCATTCACTGTTAACTCTAAACTCATCTAAAATTCTGGATGCTGTGGGGGTTTTTTTGCCATTTCACAGGCACACACAATTTTTAAGTTTGACAGGTTTGGTATCTTTTTACTCGGCGTAACTTCATGTTTTATATTTTCTCCAAAAAATTGGATATTATGTTGTGTTTATGTGCACAGAAATTAATTTAATAGAAAATTTGGTAAACAGTTGCACTAATGAAACAATTGCAAATTCCACTATTTTATTCTGCATGGTCTCGGATTTCAGGAACTATATAATTCTGGGGGTGGGGGTTTCAAGTAATTTTCAGGCCTAAAATTGCATTTAACGTGTGGAAATAAACACGGCTCTAGCAGCAAAGGGTTTTTAAGTTTTTGCCTGGTTTCAAAAGTAAGATATGATATATTTTATGTAGGACTTATTTGTTTTTTTCTATATCTTTGAATCTTTTTGGTTTAAGATAAATCTTGCCCCCCCCCTTCCCTGAAGAAATTGTGAAACTTTAGAAGGAGCAGATGTTATCTGGAGTTGTGTGTTGAAGGCAATGGAGTAACGTTAGACTGTATTATGATATTTACATGAGTCAGCTGGTAGAGTCATGCCTTGTGGTCCTTCGGCAACTCCCAAATGCAACTTGTTGTTCCTGAAAGTGAATGATGCCATCACCCATTTTACTCATTAACAGATGTGCAGTGCAACATTTAACACACAGCCAAAGCAGCGCTCTTAATAATTCATACGATGGTACATAGCTCCTGGCTTTTATGTGGCGTAAATCCATACATTAGGGAGTTGGAGATAAGAGGAAGACAGCTTGGCTTGAACGGCATTGGTTGCTGCAAATAGTCCATTTGTATGAACTCCAGGCAAGCATCAAAGCCCAAGGTGTTAATGACATATGTAGAATGTATCCAAAAACATGCGTGTTTTTATTTAAAATGATGTCTATTGTTTGCAATACTATCTCTCTACCTCTGTGTTTTAGCTAGCCAAAAGTCCTTTTGTGGGCATGTGACACCAAGAAAACATGGTTCAACTTATTTATTAATGACATCGGGGAGGGTGTTAATAGCGATATAATTGGTTCGACCTCATCTGGAGTACGCGGTCCAGTTCTGGTCACCAGTACTAAGAAAAGATGTCGAGTTGGAAAAGGTCCAGCGGAGGGCAACCAAACTAATTAGGGGTATGGAGGACCAGAGCTACGAGACGAGGCTACTAAATGTAAACATGTTCGCATTGGAGGTGAGGAGATTAAGGGGGGATATGATCTCCATGTACAAAATGTTCAATGGTGATAGCAACATTGGCGATAAACTATTTAAAATTAACTCCGTTACAAAAACTAGAGGCCACCACCTAAAATTGGTGGAAAAAAAATTCCA